ATAACAAAGAGAAATAAATAAAAATAATAGCAGGTAGTATGGCAACATTCTTAAAGTCTTCTGCATTTTCTTAGTTTTCTACAATGGATGTGCATCCTTCTATGATGAAAAAATTATAAAAATTAAAAAGCACACAGGCACACAGATGTTCCTCCTCCTCTGAACTTATGACCTAAGGAACTTCTTATCTCATTCTTCCATCAGACAGCTGACTCCTTGTCCAGCCCTGCTGAGTCACCATCTCATCTGAGATTTTTATTTTCTCTGGGTCAAGTAGGTATAATAATCCTGACCTCTCCACCATCTTCAGGAGAAGAAGGTTGTATATTGCAGGCACCTTCTGCTTATAAAGCCCCAGGTGAATGCTAATGACTCTTATGACTAATAGACGAGTACTTTCTGGGAGAGGTGAGTCACGGTGGCTGTGACATCACCCGAGAGACTCACAAAGAAAGAAATGGTCTCCTAGGACAGGATTTGACATGAAGACTCCTCTTCCCAGAAACCTGTCTTGTGTAGATTTCCAAGAGAGACTGGAAGGTGGAGTTGTGTCCTTAGCTATTGCTGGTACCAAGCAACTCACACCCGTCACTGAGCATTTGCTTGTGGCACACACATTGCAGATCAGCTGGGGTTCGGCTTCTCTTGATGGGATCAGCCCAGTTGGACTCCAAGCTGCCGTTCTGGCCCAGGTCTATTCCACATATCTCTCATCCTCTCAGGACCAGCAAGATTGCAGGGGCATGCTCTTCTTATGCAGTGGCAGAGGTTCAACAGGACACACCCAGTCACACTAGCACATCTCATCCCACTCTGTGCATGGCCTCTGCTGGTGCCCCATGGCTGAGCCCAAAGTCAAGGGGCAAAGATGAATCCTCCTCCCAAGATTGTAGGAGGGTCTGCAAACTCTCATGGCAAAATGGGTGGATACAGAAAAAGGTAAAAAATGGAGGCCAGCAAATCAACCAAGCACAGAGGGCTGGGAGGTAACATGAGCCACAAAACTATCCAATTGTCTAGACTGAAGGAAAGGAGAGAAAGGATGGACAGGAGTATGGCTACAAGCTGTTGGACACAGCTGGGAAATGCCTCCATTCACTCACGCAGCCAAGAGACATTGATTGGAGGGTCAATCTTGGAGCTTCACCAGGCTCCAAGACTTACATAGGTGAGGGTGAAAGCAAGACTTCTCTCCCTCTAGTTATTTACCTTAAACACTTTATTTTCAAACCTGAAGCCCACAGCCTTACTTTAAATGCACTTTAATTTGCAGCTTTCTTGCCTCTTGCGTTGCTATGGTTTTAAAAGGTCGCATGTATTTTTATAATCTCAAGACCATATCTCAAACTCTTCTCTCATGTGCAAACATCTTTACGATCGGACTTCTCCCTGGGATGGAAAAACGGATGTGTCTCCAGTGTGGTCTACATCTGACGGTGTAGTTTATGGCCAGGGAGGGTGGGTTGGATGGGTATATGGACCAAGTGGCCAGGAGAACACCTTAGGAAGGTCAGGGGTTGGGGGATTCTGCAGATGTGCTACACAGGTTAACAGAGGAGATGCCTCTGCAGAGGCAGCAGACATGGAAGGTTGAAAAGACAGAGGAGAGGGTCAGGAGCTGGGAAGCCACTGGCCATGCAGGTAATGTGGGCTGCTGCTCCCGGCTAGGTGACATGAGGAAAGGTTGGCCATGAGGAAGCAAGTAAAACCCAATGTAGCTGAGCAGGTAGGAAAGAGCCCTATGGGCCAGGCCCCAACTGTGTTCCTTTTATACTTTTCTATGTCACTTAACAGAGGTGGCTAGGACCAGGCTGAAGGGCTAAAGAACCAAATGCAATCTGTGATCCTGAAATAGAAGCCAGCACAGACCAAGGGCCCTGCCACCCCACATCAGCTGTAGAGCCTGTGTTTATTATTCTTTTTTTTTTCTTTTTTATGGTCCTGGTGATTGAGCCCATGGCCTTGTGCATGGAAGGCAAGCACTCTACCAACTGAGCTATATTCCCAGCCCCAAGATTATTATTCTCAGAAGTGGATGATACAGAATGACTGCAAAACAGGAGCATCTTTTTCTTTCCAAAATAAAACAAAAGGGCAATATGTAAATCAATGGAAGGGTAACTGATGTGATACAGCAATCTGTATACTACGGGGTAAAATTGGGAGTTCATAACCCACTTGAATGAAACCGTGAAATATGATATATTAAGAACTATGTAATGTTTTGAATGACCAACAATAAAAATAAAATAAAATAAAAATAAAAATAAATAAAACAAATGTAGAAGAAAACAACCTAGTGTGGAATCCTGATAAATAATTTATAAATAAATAAAAACTGGCAAAGCTAATACAGATGACCTTCCTAGCAAGAGCTCATTGTACCTATAAAGAGTCAAGAATTGAACCCCAGTCGAATCCTCAGGGGGAAAAAACATCACCAGACACCTCCCCAAACACCTGTCCTCAAAAACATGAGGGTCATCAAAAATAAGAAAAGTTGGAGAAACTGTCAGGACCAAGAAGAAATATGACAACTAAATGTCCTATGATATCATGGGTGGAATCCTGGAACAGAAAAAACACATTAGGTAAAAACTAAAGAAATCCAAATAAACCGTGGAATTCAGTTAATAATGATATGGCTTCATTAATGGTATCAAATGAGCTACACTAACATAAAGTATCTTAATTAGGAAAAACTGGGTATGGAGTATATTGGGACTCTCTATTGCTGTGTTCATAATTCTCTGTAAATCTGATCTAAAAAAATAAAGTCCATGTTTTGAAAACCAAGTCAAGGGTCAAGAGCACAGACTTGGGAGACAGGCTGCATGGAGTCCAGTCTCAGCTCCTCCTCACTGATTGTGAGACCTTGTGGGTCAAGTCACTTGGCCCTTCTCTGCCTGGGTTTCTTCACAGGGAAGAACCTGCCTCTGATGGCCATGGGGACCTGCCTCTGATGGCCATGGGGACCCAGTGACTTACAAATTGTCAAGTTCTGCAAGAGTGCCTGGCACTCAATTAATATGACCCATGCTTATTGCATACATAAATAAAACTAAAGATATGGGCTTATCTCAAATATCATATAAAACAGTAGGAAAGGTTGTGAGCTTAGCCTGTTTATCTTTGCTGCCTAGCTTCCTCTCTAAGTTTCCCATTCTCTGCCAAGGTTGGAAGGAAAGACCCAGCCTGCAAACTTCTCACTGGAGGAGATACTAGCACAAGTGGATGCACCTCCTCTGTTCTTCCCAACCTCTTCCTTCTTCCCCAGGAGTCTCCTACTGGATCTAGGACTGAGAAATTTCATGGACACCTCCAATCCCACCATCCTTTCCCAAATGCATGGCCCCAGACTGTCCAGCACCTCTGCTGTCTGCACTGACCCTCTGCTAGCTCAAGCCTGTTGGTCAGGAAGGGAGCGCCACCATGCAACAGGATGCTCAGGAAATGCGTATGTTCCTTATGACTCAGGAAGAGTTCTCCCTAAAGAACAATCCTGAACTTTGTCCAAGTGGCAGTGGCAGAAAGTTTGCCATGGGTCATCTTCCTGAGAGCATCTGATCAAAAAAAAAAAAAAAAAAAAACCCCACAGCAGAACCGGACTAGCACTAGCACATCTGCTGCTTCCTTCAGTCAAGACCTTGACCTCTGGTCATTTCCTGTTTCCACTCATGCTATGCTCCCTCTTTGGGGCTGCTAGTAAAACAAAAGCCAACAAACACCTCAAGGATGGGGCAGGAACTACAGATCTTAGGCTACAGGAGGAGACCAAGTCTCCCAATTCCTCAGTGGGCTCCCAGCTTCCGTCTTCTAAAGAGCATATTTTCTCATCAAAATAAAACATTAATGAAATGCTAATGAAGGAGGTCATTCTTGTGACCCTTGTTTTGCAGACAAAAAAGAGAAGAGATATAGAGTGGGTTTCTTGCTTGGAGAATGGGTTGCATTTCTTCACCCACATTCCGTCTGGGGTTAGCTTGTTTGCTTTGCTTTATTTTTCATCATGCCAGTACCTGGCAATGACCTACATAGACCACATGCCTAATAATAATTTGGGCTTTATTAGCACCCAGCATTCAAGGGCCTCTGGGGATTTGGCAAAGGGCAATTTATGAAATCATTTGCTTGTTGCAAATAGACCTTCATATCTCCGGGTGGCCTGTGAAGGGAAGGGAATGTGGGCTGGGAATATGTGCACAGCAGTCACATGTCTGGCTTCTCTCCCTTTTAATTTTTTTTTATATGGAGATTTCTAAGACCATGGCTCACTTGCACAAGGTTGATATTTAAAATTTATAGCAGCTAGTATGGCTCAGGTATCACCAAGCAGAAAAGATGTTGGCCAGGATACCCAGTCAGAGCCCCCACTCCCCAAAACCAGCTGGCCTTTTGGCATGACCCCTTAAGTTATAGGATTACAGAAAGATCTGGGGAAGGGTCTAAGAGGTCACAATGACTGTGCCAAATAACTCAGCATTTATCTAGCTGACTATTAACCAAGAATTCACACATATTCTGCATTCCTGCAAAGTACAGATCCATAGCACAAGGCTGAGCATGAATTTGTCCCTAAGCATAGTAGGTAACTATAGCAGGGTGTGGAGCAGAGATGATTGGTTTTGGGAGACAGGAGGATTTCATTCTATTGCCTCTCCCCTCCCCTCTGGTCTGCTGGAGCTGGTCAGGTGGGCCAAGTAACAGGTTACCTAAAATAGACAGAAGTCACATACAATAGCCTGAGATGATGAGGGCTAAGGAAGCCTAAGAAGCCTCCAAGTCCAGAAGGTGAGTGTCCTTTGGAAATCAGACTTCAGAGACAGCACAAAACATGGCAGTGGCCAGTGGAGAGCCTAGGACAAGAGGGTGGGGGAAACCAGAGCACCACGAGAGAAGTGAATCCACAACCCTTGCCTCAAAATCTCCACCACAGTTCTCCCCGGGATGCTTGGCTGTGATTAAGCGTGTAGGGTGGGGTGCAGTTATTCAGTACTCACCGGCTCTCAGCACCTCCTTGTAAAAATACTTCCCAAATGTGCACAACTCCAAAAGCGAGTTCTGTCCAGGAAAGATGTTCCAATGCCAAAGCTCATGCTTCAGAAAGACCTTCATCATGTGAAGGGCTGCCTTCTCCTGGGAAAAGTAGGATTTGGGTGACTGAAATTTTCCATCCCAGAATCCCAGTGCTCTAGGACTTTGGCTGAGAACGGGGTAGCTCAGATAGTTTTGCCAATGCAGTAATTTTTAAAACACTAGTGGAATACTAGGATTCTCCTGATGGATGCAAATCACTCTCCAAACATGTAAATTGTTTCTTCTGCTCTTCTGAATGCATATCACACAATCCTCCCAACAGTCATTCACATGGAGAACTAAGTGCCTCTTACTAGAAATGTATTAAGAGAATCATTAAGAATGACTGAATTTAGAATTTATGAGCCAATAGAGTGTGTGAGCTCAATACTTTATTTTGGTGTTCTACTCCAAATTCTGTCATCCTTGCAAACATGTGGCAACTAAGTTTCTGCTGTAGCCCCATCTCTGTAGTGGGCTGGAATGCCCACACTAGGAGGAAGCAAGTTTTGTTATATCTTACATCTGCAGTTGCTGCTGTATTGCCTCAGGTAGTTAACTGCAGATTATCTGATCTCCCTTACCATGGTTGCTATTCTATATTGATCTCATCAGTATTAGGGTCTTGCAATTTTCTAGGAAACTAGATTGAAAGTTACACATACATTGTGGTTCAAATAGGAGTCATCAACATCCCTAGTGAAAAAGCAACTGTTTAATAACATTCCTTCCTACAAGAAAAGCCTTGTTCATACAGCAACACTTGGTTATTTTAGGCATCTCATCTTTTTTCCATTGGAAAGTGTGAAAGGGTAGACTAGGTAGACAATGAGGTAGGTCTTTTGCCCCATTTAAGCAGGTTCAAGTTAAAAATAGTTGGACGGTTATTGCTCTCTTCAAAGAAAGTTTTTTTGTAAGTATAATGTTATTATTTGAATAGGTTATAAATTCCTGTGATTCCAAAGTCAAAATAACATTAAAAGAATAATTGAGAAGTTTTGTTGCCAGTGCTTCCCTGGTCTATTTGGGTCTGACACCCCATTCCCTGGAGGTCACCACTTTATTGCTTTCTGATAGATTATTCCAGTGTTTTTTTAATGCAAGTAGAAATGATGAATGCATAAAGCTCCCCTGACTGCACTTTAGAAGGTAAAGTTAAATAAGGTGGATAAATTCAGATATGGCTCCAAAATACTGAAATTGCACCTGAAGTTTGTTTTCCTAAGACCATCAAAAACACTGGCATTTTTCTCTATATCAGTTCTTTGGAAAAGGGAGAAACAGAGTTTTCTCCCATCTCCTTGGCTCTGCTTTACCACTCCTCTGCACTTTCACACGTCAACAAGTTCACAAAGATCTCTGATGAAGGTCGGCATTTTGTTCTGCACCCCACTCCCAACCTCCAATGAGCACACTTGTCTAGGGCCCCATCACATCGGTGCCTGTGAGGATGGGCAAAGGAACTTTAGTGCTTCACTATTCAAGAAGGAAATGGCTGGCTCATTCAAATCAAGGTCACTTCCAACTGGAAATAGTCTTTAAAAATGGATCTCATGGTGGAGAAACTTGATACTGAAGGATGTCCCAAATATGTAATGCTCAAGATATTTAAAGAGAACTTACTATGTGCCAGGTGTTATGGAAGGTGCTAGGTAGAAAGTGAATGGGACATGGTTTCTGCCCTCATGGACCTCGTAGCCTTGTGAAAAAACTTATAACACACTAAAGTAAAAGCCACAAAGAAATGCAGAAAAAGAGTTCCTGTCTGGGATGAGAGCTCAAAGAAGGCTCTGTGGCATAGGTTTCATCAGAGCTGAGACCAGAGAGACAAGGAGGACTCAGCGAGCTGGTGAGTGGGACCCTGAGGCTTCATTATGGCACAAAGATCTTGCCATGGGCAAGTCATGGCTTATCTCTTCTCTCCAGCTGCCTTTCCCACGGGGACTTCCTGGAGAAAATTGTGGTACCCAAAGAGTGACTTTCATGGAGTTCTGGTAGCATTCAGAGCTGGAGTGTGGGCAGAGGTGTACCCCCCTTCTTATCTCAACACAGGGACCTGGGCCTGGTCCAACAAGTTCAGGAGGAGAGTCAGGGAAGAGTACAGGGGGAAAAGTACAGAAATTGAATGCCTCTCTTCCAGGACCGCCATGTTCGTTCTCAACTCCACTTCATACATTTGCTTTGGAAACAGAAAAGCTGCTGGCAATGGGAGCTTCCAAGGGAAAAATCTCAAAATGTCAGAAGTTGAATCCAATTCCCAACAGAAAACAGATGGCACCCTCAAAACAGGATGACCTGGGGCGGGGGGAGGGGAGATGATCATTTACAAAAGTGTGCGTGGAGAGGGCACAACCACTAGCGCAGTAGTTATGGCATTATTCCCTGTAGGCCCAAGATAGGAGATTAGGGAGATCCACAGCACAGTAGGTCCTTGAATATCTAAAACACAGACTTGGGGCTTTAGAAAGGCAGAGAGCCTGGAGTTGGGTAAAAATCAGCAAAGGAAGAGGTGGGAATCCTGTAAGATTAACTCTACCTGAGTAAACCTTGTAGATGCTTAAAAGTAAACCTTGTAGATGATTTAAAAAAAAAAAGACAGGGGCTGGGGTTGTAGCTCAGTGGTTGAGTGCTAGATTTGATCCTCAGCACTACAAATAAATAAATAAAATAAAGATATATGTCCACCTACAATTTAAAAAAATATTTAAAAAAAGAAAGCAATAGGCTTCATTAATCTTAAATTTTTGAGTTTTTGCTGATCTTCATTAATCTCTACCAGTTGGTACCTGCTATAATAATGCTCTTTAATATACTACCCCTCTCCCAATCAAAGTCTATCAACAATGAACATTTATTCTCATGTTCATGGAGCAGAAAGTTAATTTCAGCTTCACTGATTTAGGCTGGGCTTGGCTGGGGGCTTTATTTCATTCTGCAGATTGGCTGGGATTGACTCTCCACTATAGAATAGCTTCAGGTTGGCTCTACTTGTGTTTGTTCTGGGACCCTGGCAGAAATGGTAATGATTATTCAAGCCATGTTTTCCTCATGGTTGATGCAGAAGGCGCAAGCCAAATTAAAGTCCTAAACTCACTGCACATCCACTCATATTCCATTGACAGAAATAGTTCATATGACTAAGTCCCACATCCAGAGGGTAGCACAGGACACACTATCCACAATGGAAGGGCACCACACTTGCCCTTGGTCAATTAGCAGATGTACAGTGGAGAATCGAGTTTGGCAATCTAATTTATGACAACCCTGCAGTCCTCACATGGCAACCAAGCATCTGGATCACTGGCTGGAAATGAATGTAAGGGGAGCAGTCTGGATTGGTACTTGGTGAGCTGTGGCTGAGCCAAAGGAGTCTAGAATTTGAGGATTCAAAGGGACCTTCACACATTCAAGCATCCATTCTTCCCAGATGTTTACTGGGCAATTACTATGTTCTCAGCATATTGCTAAGTACAAGGGACACAGAAGGAAGTAAAAAGCAGACGTCACAAGCAGAACTTAGAGTCTAGGAGAAACAGGTGTTAACCAAATAACCACACAATAGGGGACTGGCTAAATAAAGTAGAATAGATCCACATATTGAAGCAAAGTTAAGGAAAACCTCTGTAATTTAATATTTCTTCCCTTAAAAAAATATATATAAACATATATATTATATGTGTATAACATATATAAATATATCTATATTAAGGGAAATATATATATTTGTAGCTCTATCCACTGAAAAGTCATGATGGGGATAAGCACCCCTAGTGCTCAGATTATGGTCTCTAAATACAATTTCCCAATGCAAGAGACAGAGTTCTTGGATACATGACTGATTCCATGAGTAGGTAAAAAGTGTACAAGATGAACCTGGGTCATCAAATGCCATAAATTCATTGTATGCCAGAAAGAAAACTGTGAAAATCTCAGTGGTCCACATTAAAGGGAACCAAACATTTCCACTCAAGAAGATGGAGGAATTTTAGCATCAGCAACAACAACAAAATAATCATGGAATAAAGAATTGAAACATGGGCTGGGGATGTGGCTCAAGCGGTAGCGCGCTTGCCTGGCATGCGTGTGGCCTGGGTTTGATCCTCAGCACCACATACAAATAAAATAAAGATGTTGTGTCCATCGAAAACTGAAATTTTTTTTTTAAAGTTTAAAAAAAAAGAATTGAAACACATTAACTTCCAAAAATCTTTATAAAACAAAAGATTATGGTTCTCTGCTGAAGGAGGCTAGGACTTTAAATCATTACTTTAAACATTGGTAAAGACAAAGAGAATGTTTATTCTACCTTTCCTGCTCACATAACTGCATTTCTGGGTAACCAAATTGTTGCTGTGGCAATTTCCTTGTGGTCACATTTCCACTGTTAAATGCAGAAGGAATGAATGATAGGATTCTGTTAATGACATAGAAGACTTAGAAAGTAATTACTACAGGATGCTGAAAACCTTAGGAAGAATATTGATGGGGGGAATCTCATATTAGAATGGTGAGGCTGACACCCTAAACACACTGATCTGTCACCCTAAACACACCCAACTGTCACACTCTGGACCTTGTGTGCTTCCTGAGGTGACAGTGTGACACCTCATAGCACCAACTATGGAGAACTTGATCCCAAATCTAAGGAAGAGTCTAGATCTCTCACTACCTTGTAGAAAATACAGAGGACTGAAGAACAAACTAATGAGCAATCAGCCCAATCTGAAACGTGGCACATTCTACAAGATAGGTATCTTCGTTTCTTCAACTAATCAATGGCATAGAAAATTAAAAGAAAAAAAAGGAATGGGAAACTGTTTTGTTTTAACAAATAAAGTTGTATGTATTTAAGGTGTACAACACACACACACACACACACACACGTGTGCATATGGTCTTTTTATTTTATCGATTATTTCCTTTGCTGTTCAGAAGCCTTTGAGTTGATGTAGTCATGGGTGGGAACTGTTCGAGAATAACAGAGACATAAGAGAGAGGATAATTGAATGAAAGGCATGAGCCTTGTTTGGATCTTGACTTGGAAAAAAACAACCTAAAGA